AATGACAATGCCGGTTTGTGAACTTTGGAGCTGAAAATATTTAAATAATTCTAATTTCATCTTTACATCCTGACAGTGACAGCAGGATGAATAACACAGCAGGTATTCAAATGGTTTGCTTGTCTATATGTTTTTCCCCTTAAAACAAACTCATAAGAGACAACTTACAAAAAGAGAACCATTTTCCCAGGCATTTTTGTAAACAGAAGTTTGTTTACTTTATGAGAAGGTTTTGTGGTATTTAAATATTTTCTTATTTCTTTTTTCTTCAGCCATACGTACAGGTACATGTATATAAATTTCTTTCATAACAGCTGCCACCCTACCTACAGTATAGGATGATTTTCATGACCACTGAAAACTCTAAACAACAACAAAATATGTAAAAATAAATAAGATAAATATTCAAACCTCTCCAAAGTGTAAAATAAAAATAAACACTTACCCGGTACCTAAAAATTGCAAGCTACACGTCATTTTATGTCAAGTAATATACGTCACCATGCAACAAGGGATGCTAACTATATATGCGTAGATCATGTAGTTCATGTCATACATGTACATGTAAGTCTGGTACATGCCATCTGATCTTTCTTACATGTAAATGCAGATGAAATTTTGGGAGCGCAGGGGAAGACTGTAACTTTTGAATCTCACATCTACAGAATGAAAAAAACACAAGATCAGGTGTTTTTTTTTCCTTAAATAAAATCAAGAGAACCTCCAAATAGGAAAGCCAATTGCTCAGCCACTGAGCTTAAGGAGTCACTCAATTTTCTCTTTCATTGGCTCCTGTGTCATGCTTCAACTCTCCATGACACACGCTTGACTGCTGCTTGCATTCTGCTCGCAGGGTTTCATATCCTCTCATTGTCTGCTCCATGTCTGGTACATACGAGCTCAAATTCTCGCTAGCTCCAAATCTCTCACAGACTTTTTCACCCCGTAGTGCTTTCTTCCTGTTTCTCCAAGAACTGTGAGCATCACTTCAACAAACAGTTGATTGGACCCATATGATAAAACATTTTTGGACATCAAACAGATCTTGCAAGGTACAATGTACATTACTAGTAGCTCTGCTCAAATTGGACGTTGTTGCTACAATTTAAAGACTGTTGTCAAAATGGCAAAATGAAATTATCCCATGCAGACAGCTTTTAAACTGTCGAAATTGTCAAGTGTCGATCGTCTATTGTTAGTTTTACCTTCCACAGCAGTAGTTTTACAGGGTCAACTCCTGCACGAGAATGACACTGTCAGTTTTATGTCGTAGAGAAGTCCTGTGTTAACGACCACTGTAACGTACGGTAAAACTTACATTTTGATAACGTGACCTAAGGACATACATACCAGTACAGTACGCCCTCAGTTGTTTCCCGAGCATGCACGCACACCTACCTATATACTGCACATACTAATACATGTACATCGTATACATACATGTACAGACATTGGAGATGACAAACGGACAACTTGACAACGTGCGGGAAAAAATTTCTAAAAATTTCGCACTTCCCTGAAGCCACAACGTCAATCAAGAGGTATCCTCATGAGCTTCTAAGACATGCCACTGTAGGTTGGTACATTGTACATGTACTGGTACTGTAAGTGGACAAGGGTCTTTCCGCTGGTCACAAGCAATCCATGTGCAGATGCACAGAGGAACAACCTCAACAGAATGTTTACAAATGAAGTGACATTTCACAAAGTATTGTCCAAATGCAAACGTGACTTATGGTTTCAAGTGCACAAACATACCAGTACTGTACATGTGTGTTTAAAGCATCTACATACATTGTACAAGGGATCGGATGTGCATGTACTGGAAAAAGGTCCCCAACCCCACGACCTGTGTCAGCCCCTCCAATTAAATATACCTCCCCACCCACAAGCACTGCTGTTCCTCCAAAAAGGGAAAAAATAACGCCCCCATTTCTAAAATCCTAAATTCAAACAAATTCCTCCTCAGAGTCAGAGATGCAGCCAACAGGACTAATCAAATGCTGCAGGCATCTGCCACAGTCTCTCTTGTACATGCATGCGACGCGGGGGAGAACCCCAAAAGAATTATCTACGATCAATGATGCCCAGATCCATCTTCCTCCTTTTTTTCCCCTCCCGTAAATGAGCCGGAAACCGGGCCAGCGTTCTACGGTGACTCCCTCGAGGTATGTCATGTACACTGTTGTAATTCCCAATGACCGATGATGGAATCCTGCGTGAAATGAGCACTTTATTTAGGGGGGGGGACAAGAACTAGGTTTTTCTTCTTTTTTTAGGCTGAGAAAAGCAAAAAAAGGTCAATTAGCTCAGGTTTGCAAAGCATTCATAGAATGAGCAATTTGCATGCATGGCTAACTACAGTGGTAGGCCTACACCAATTTAGTAGAGCCAATCAGACACAAATTGGTTTAGCAGAGGAAAAATTTGCTTGGAGAGAAAACAGGTCACCAGGCCCATTGCTAGTTACTAAAGTACATGTACATGTAAACGGTACATGTGCAGATGTTCTGAAACTTCAACCATGCATCCCGGTTCAGTGCAGTAAAACAATTTGGGGAATAAGATTTCGAGAAAAACATTGATAGATTACTATTTGCAGACCATTTTGTAATGCTTCAATGAACTTCTATGCTAAATGGAAAACTCATCTGACTCTCGACAAGGTCAGTCACCACACACACCCCTCCCTACTGCCAGTATATCCCCTTATAAGGTTACACCTAAGAGCTCTTATGTTGTTCAAGCACTGAGCGAAGTCCAAGATCTGTCCAAAAAAAACCAGTTCAGAAACCAGCTACTATGAGTACGCTGAAACAATTAAAATTACAAGATTCATGTTAGTGGTCTGCTTAAGTATGGATGTGCGGTACCTATACACGTATGAAGAATACAGTGTACAATGCCTGGTTCCTGAAAACAATTTTCAATAAGCTAAAGTTTGCACTTTGCTTGGGATACCAGCTCATCATTTTGCACGGTGCAGTACCGTACAATGTAACCGGTATCCATGCAGTATGGAACTATTTCCTTGAGTACCCCATAATGCATAGGCATGTTTACATTTTAACCTGTACCATTAGAGTACATTGTATCTATTTAGAATATTACCTGTCCACACATGTACATTTACATGTATATCGTAATCCTTTTAATACAGTGAATAACCTTTAGAAAAGCTAGGTTGTTCGGTAATTTGTTTACCTAGTGAACTTTTGCCAGTCAGCCTACAGGCATGTTTTCTCAGCAGGACGCACATTTTTGGTGGCACGTCAATTTACAATAGCGCACCTTTGAAGATGGTCTTCACAGAGTACCATACAATTAAATGCACTCACCAATCATCCCTATTCACAAAGGCCCCATCAAGTTAAACTCAACAGTGTTTTCTTTGCACGTTCCCACAAAATGAGCCAACTCCTGTCAAAAGCCATGGACAGAAATCAAACCAAAGTTAGAGAAAAAGGCCTACTGTTCAGTAGCATCCCCTGATCACTGCTGGTTGAGTTTAACTGTCTTCACAGGCACATGACCTGTGATAAGGAAATCCTAAGAAAATGTGTGCGTGTGCGGTATGGTATACTTTACTTGTAACTTGGACAAAATTCAACACTGTTAGATATGTACCCAGGAGCACTTCAATATGTTATAGTGTGCATGTAGACATGCATGTGTATGCAAACATACATGTTCGTAAGGAATTACATGTTAATTAGTTAATGCTACCGGTAAGTACACATGTACTTAAGAAACCAATAATAATAATGTACATGTACGAGTATAAGAAATTCATCATTCTCATTTTGAAGACCTTGAATTGAAAATGGAGCTCTTTCTTTTTTGCCAGCACTTAAGAGTCATTTCCATTTCAGGAAAAATGCTTAAAATGTACATGTACTAATAAGTCATTCAGCACATGGCACTGAGCTAAAGTCTTGTCCAGCACGGTTTTATTTGCAGGTACACTTATTTCAAGAATGTAAAAAATCTGATTCACCATTAAAAACCATTTTATGAGTGCATTTCTGCTTAATACACTATTTTTACATTGGGGAAAAACACTCCATCTATAAGACCCCTGTACATCAACCTAGAAATTTTTTATTACACTGTACAATTATTATGACACACGAATCACTGTGTTTCGTTGATGTACAGTAGGTCGAGAATTTTTCTGTTTTAACTACGGATACAGATTTCACCTTAAAGATACTGTTACACGTACATGTATCTTATTCTTTATCCAATTCAGCGGTGCCAACCAAGCAGCTGGTAATACATGTATTTTGTGTCCTTGAGCAAGCCATTTTATCTTTTTCCAGTCTATTCCATCCAGGAGTGTCACTGCGTACCAGCAATAGTTGGAAGCAACCTGCAGTGGACCAGTATCCCATCCAGGGGCAAATACCGGTACACGTAGATGTAGCTCAATCCTTTATTGGGTGCATTCAGTTAGCTTACGCAGGGCAGCCCTGACCTGGGGATGGTCATGTGTGCTGTGTCAAGCAAACAAGATGGTGGGGACGAGGTTAAACCCATGTAGATTTGACTTGCAGAAGCTAATCGAACGCACCCAAATACTGGCCCAATGAGCCACACTCGATCAGCCCCGGTATTCATGTGTGTAACATCGGTGCAACAATTAATTTGAGAAGAATATGCCCCTCTCCTTCTCCTCCACTTTGGAGACCTTTATGAGACACCATTTTGTGTGCTTCATTTCAACATCCATTTAGTTTGAAGAAATCATAAAATCACCCCTCTCTGTAACAGCACACTGCACAAGTGAGGGGATACTTCGAACAGATTTGACCCTTGAAATCATGGGAGGGTTCATGCGCAGAAGTCGTTGAGTACACACTACAAACATCTCACAAAAGAAACAGAGCACGAACAATGAGCGCCCATCGTTATTGCACAGCGCTGCTTTTGTTAGATGTTCATAGTGACAGCCAGTTGACGCAAAAAGTAACACTTTTGTTTTGTTCCCTTCAACTTACCCATCTTCATCCTGGTAGTTCACAGGAGACTTTTTGATTGTGCCTTGCTTTTCTGTGGAAATACAAAAGAAAGAAATTAACGTCAGATGACTCTCGGAGACTTTGAGCAACCAATATGGAAACTGCAAAACATTCTGAACGGAGTGTTAAAGATGTGTAATTGCTTCCTGAAAGATGCATGAAAAACAGTTCAGCCTCAGACAAAAAAAATCCACAAAGTATTTTTCATTCTTCACCCAATGTAATAAATTTAAAAATACACACAATGCAGCTTAGGCCTATGCCTGGGATACACAAAGAACAGTAAAAACTCTTCTGGAGTCACTGCTACATGTAGTACACCATATGTTTTATTTCTTCTTTAACTTGTAATAAATTTGGTACTTCAAATTTTTTTTTACCAGTATTTCACTCAACTGGACCACTGTACTTCCAACACGTTTTTCCCAATTTGACTGCACATTGAGACTTTTATCTGCAAAGTCTGACTATATTGTAGATTACCCATGGTTTCAACCTTTTTTGCCGAATTAGCCCTTATGATGCTCAATCTTTCACCTGTTGGAGGATTGAGGACTGTTAGGATCATCATTCCACTATCAGCAGTAACCAAGTAATTAGCATGCAGCTATTACCCTATTTCTAAAGGCCTAACCTCACAGTCAAACCTGACATCAATCAAGACAACCTTTTTTTTCTCTCTCAAAAAAAGCAAAAGAAGAATGTCAGTATTTGTCAGAGGTTCAGAGAGAAAAATTTAACAGCCATTTTTAAAGAAGTACAGTGAATAAAGTGGCAAGGGGTCAGGAACAATCGTGTCTCACTGGGCTCACACGCAAACCAACTTTCAAAAACACATTTGAACAAAAACTTTGTGGTTCATCGACTCAGTCCACAGAGTTTTAGTCAGATGGAGCCAACAATCTCATGAAATGAAATCCACTTCAGAGTGAATTTTTGATGTCTGGCCAAAGTTTCATGAAAAACACAGGCATGAAACACAGGCCCCATATCTTTCTCCGGTGCACGGTTACACAGCATACAGTTGGTTACGAAAGTTGCATGCAGTGCAATTACATGTACACCATAAGCATTGTATTCAAAGTGAAATATGAATGTACATGTACCGTAGGTGCTACTTTATACAAAGTACAGTTATGTACATGTATATCATGCATGATAACCTTTTTGGTAATTTCTCTCACCTCGGACACCTCCTCAACTTTGCAACGTTGTCAAGAATCATGTGTCAGTTGTCAGTACATGTACATGTACATTATTAGTACATGTACCCAGATACCCTTTTTTGTCGTCTTCTGTCATTCCAGTTACAACTTTACATTTTTCTTGTTTATCTAAACTTCTACTATTTTTATTTAATGATTTTTCTTTTTCATTTCTGGTTTATTTTTGTGACCTACACACACGTACATGGGTAATTTGTTATTTGTGGGCTCGAAAAAACAACTGCAAGCTTTACTCAGATGGGATTCGAACCAATCACCTTCTACTAATGCAGACATTCTACCACTCAACCATTTAACTTCCCTAGTCAGCTGGCTGGTTCGAGTCATCTGGCTGGTTCGAGTGAGGCAGGCAGTGAGTGCTGCAAGTAAACACTTTTCCGAAAAATTACAGTACATCTTAAAACAGCATGTTGTTGGTTTCCCAAAAAAGTTTGCCCGAAAGTATTCAAGAATGTGAGCCGAATTAAAGGCTTCTATCTCCGATTCCTGACGCGACTTCCCTTTAAACAACAGTCAGCTCAGAATCATAGCCATCACCACTGAGACATTTTGTGTATTAAACCCCAGGTGTGTACACCTTCTCCAATCTCCTTCCACACTCCAACGTGTTGACATAACATGATCCTCAGCATTCAAGCAGCAGACCCTTGTTTACCTAGATGTAAATTTGACACGTCCTGTATATCAATTAGCTGGTGCAGGCACTCCAAGTTCTGGTAAGTTTGATGTTGTTTTACACATCTGACTTACTAGTACATGTGCATGTACATGTACCTACATGTACCATGTACATTGTACATATAGAGTACCTTAATTCAGTTGCCATGGCTCATTAATGTGTGGACCCATTATTTCCTCTGAATGTGAATTCTGCTGTCTAACTACTATGACTTTATTACATCTGGACATGACAGGTAATAGTTAGCACCTACAGTATGTGAACTTGTACATATATTCAAACTCAAGACTCGTACATGTAAGTGTCCTGACTCCCCAATGTCACTGTGTAGTTTCAAAGTGCTTTGAAGGCTTTAGCGTAGTAAAAAGCAATAAATCATTTAGAAGGTTCATTTTCAAATATGAATGCATACATGTAAATGCCCGAAGCACGATTTCCTTCGACCCAATCTGCCCTCCAAGTTCCTTCACAAGAAGGCTGAAAATATTCTTTAGAACATTACAAGTACATACACGGTTTTTTTTTACACATTCATGTTATCCAGCCCTTTTCCTCCTCCCCGACATCTGTTAGGTACAGACACCGGTACACTGTACACTGTATGTGCTATACATGTACATGTACATTGTACATGTACATGTAGCTGTCAACTCCAAGTCTATGTAATTTAAGCCTACTACTGTACGTGTACATTAAGTGCATCAATGGGAGAATCGCAATATTGAACAATACCTCGGTACAAGCTGAAGAAATTTTAACTTTGAGCTACATTTAAAGTGCAAAATGGACACAGGAACTGCCCAATTTGGGGCCCCTCACCAGCCAATCCATAAACAGATGTACATGCATGTATACTGTGCACATGTATAAAACGTACATACGTACTGTACACGTACACATCAGTATGTTCCTGAACTACACGTATCAGAGTGCACATTCTGTCACAGCAGTTCCCACAGTCACATTGGTTTTGCACCGTTTGACACTCATGAGGCTTCATGTTTGCTCAAATTAAAACCATCACCAAGCCCTGCACAACTGTAGCCTGTAATTGTTTTTCTCTCTCGAGGGATGCACAGACAGACCAAACCAAATCTTGAAAAACATCCCCGCCAATTTCCTTAAGTCGTTTTAATTTCCCTCCAAGTAAATCACTTGAAACCTAACTGCCTGAGTCCTCTGCTTTATTGGGCGGCTGGGTGTGTACATACATGTAGGTATGGGGTGTACCTCAGCAAATTTAATCCGATGAACTCCCGGCAAGAGATGTCCTTGCATAATCCTATTACAAGCAAATTAGCTGGCTTGCTAACATCTGCTGGTGAAAACTGCTACCTTGGGGTACTGAGCATCCTGAAACATCACCCTGGCTGCACAAACTGTTCATTCAATATACCGGACTGGTCTCTTTCTGGTCACTATTGAGTGTTACAATATCAACATTGAGAAGGTCATGTACCAGTGAATTAACTGAAACAAAGGATCAAGTTACATGTAAATGATACAGGTAAGGAACACAACAACCTTGGCTGGATGCAATTAGAGAAATAACCATCAGACTTCTGATTCTTTTAAATAAAATGAAATAACAAAAACAACAAGAAAATATTTAACCCAAATTTTAATTGAAAAACAATACAAAAGTACATCATGTCAAAGTATGCCATTCTACACTGGAATACCGGTACATCCCTACCAGTACAAGACAAAAATCCAGCTGCTTAAAATATATTTTATTATTGGTGAGGAGATTTTTTATACAGTTTTTTCAACAGTTGTTAACTTCAGCTGTTCTACATGTAGCTCCCAGCATCAACAGAATCTTCTTGTGGTTTTTTTTTTTTTCCTTTTTAAATACCTGCACCACAAGGCTCCATCTGTCACCAGGAGATGGCACGACCCAGCGTGACTGCACCCTCACTTTAACGCACTCCTCTTGGCCAATACCACTGCTTCCAGCAAAGCCGATAAACCTGTGTTATTTAAGGGTAACTCTTTTCTCCCCAGGGAAGTTGGAACTCCACATCCAAAGAGAAGAATTTTATCATTAATAGGAATATGATTTTTTAACTCCTTCGGGAAAGGATAGAATTGTTGCTAGCTTGCAATTAATTAATTCTAAAAATCTGAGCTTTAGTACAGATGCATTTTAGGTGAGATTTACAATGTATAGATCTTGATAAATGTACTGGTGCATTTAATATACGAGGAAAGTCCAAGATATATGTGACAGTACCTGGGTAGTTGGCATTTCAGGGTATCTACATGTATGTTTCTCCCTTCCCATATTAAATGTTACAGCTTAATCACAGTACTTAGTAGACTATATCATCCTGTGCCCGGCAGAAGGGCATAAGCACACTTACATTTACGCCCTTTCGCCGGGAAGCATGATCATAGCAGAAAAAATGTTCCCGACAAAAGGGCGTAAGAAATACACTCTATTTATTAAGTAAAAACAGATATAATTTACTACCAAATCACAAAAAGCAACCTTTGAACAGCTTATGAAAGGACTTGGGCATTTTGTTTTTTTACTTTTTGCCAAGAAATCTTCATATTTCATTAAAATACAATAGTTGCATACTTTCGTCCTTTTGCCGGGAAAAGTTTTTTGCAGTGATCATGCTTCCCGGCAAAAGGGCCTACGTGCTTACACCCTTCTGCTGGCACACGACGATATGTACAAATTTATCACCCAAGTGACTGTGGTCTTTATAATTGGAAAAGCAAAAGGTGAAAGGGACCCTCAGTCATGAATTCTGGGTCCTTCAAAAACATCCCATAACTATGAGTGCAACATGCACAAGCTTTTACCAATGAAAAGGCCTTCCAATTTCAAAGGAACAGGTCTGGATCCGGAGCAGACAACTGAAATGATTTCTCATCCTGTAAAAGCCCACCACTAATTTCCCTCCCACCCTACAAAACGAGAGATTGCCTGCTTTTTCCAAATTGTACCATCTAATGACTAAATGCACAGTGGCAGTGTAATGCAAACAGCATGTAAATTTATAGAACTGGAACAGACCAGAGTGATTAGAAGGACAAGAGAGGCAGTGGCAATCATTACACTACATTCATGTACCTGCTGATACTGTATGTACGGTATTATCATTCTCGTAT